TTAAATCTAGTCTAGTTTATTATAGAAAATGTGTTTTTAAGCTAGATTTGATTGTAATCATTTTTATAAATTGGTTAAGTATTAACTTGCGGAATTTATGAAGCATCTAATAATTTAATTTAATTCTGTATTGAATTATTCTTATTTACTTAATCAGTTTAGTAATGTAAAATAGTGTTGTGGTCCAATACTTGCCTCTTCCGTCACTTTCTGTATTTAGGTGTTTCCACTAATTGTGTCTATTATCTACTGTTTCTGAAGCGTTTGAATTTTAGATTTACATCCAGAATTCAACTGTTTAGCTTATTTATGTAAAATAAACAGTTTGCATGTTGTATTGTGTTAGGATGAAGAATTAGTCCGATGTTTGTATCATTGTCATTGTGTACGCTGACGCCCTCTAGCGCATCGCAATACGACACGCCTTGCTTCAAAACTGTAATATAAAATATATTAAAATCGAATTATGACTTGGCTCTAAACATTATTTATTATTTACGAAGAAAAGGCGATTATTCATTGCCAAGAATTTATTGCATTAATATTTGATTATCAATAAATTCGTGTTCATTTGAACGTATCATTTTTGATGATATAAATCTATAAATATCTTATCTATTGTGCTGTAATATCATTTATTTAAAGCACTTTATTACAACACACCCACGCAACATGATTAAAATATGTTGATACGTGCGATTATTTCCAGAATATTTTATACTTTTATGGTATATTTTATTTTTAGGTTATAATTCTTCTTTGATATTTAAATGTTCTTTTTTACAATTTTAGATGTATAAGCGTGGGTTTTTAATACCAAAATCTGTATATGAAACATATTGTTATCTCTGTTTTGTCAAAGATAATGATAGGGGTGACGATATGTTTTATATAGAGATCTTGGTTTCAGAAACCATTGATAAATGTGCTAGGAAATTTATGTTTAGAGCCAATCTTTCTTCACACGGCTTTAGTCGTTATGGCGAGGCGCTAGTTTTTTTTTTCACTTCTTCACACTTTTGGTATACTGGACGCTTCCTTTGTCCTATCACTAATCCTAATCACCCACCATGATCATTTTATTGGCACCTTGTTTATGTAAGCCGTTGTTTAGCGGCATATAGCATGTCGTTAATGTTCTATTTTTATCACTGAGTGAATGTTTATAACACGTTCCAGGCTTAATAACTTGTCTAATTTTTACAGGTACAGCAAATTGGATTATGAATGTTGCTAATATTTAAAAATATATTTGTTTTGGAGATTTCTATATTTTTATGTGCTTCTTATATATAAGTATGTTAATATGTATGTAAAATTTATCCAGACGTAGTTCTCTGGGAGGCTTTGGCCGCTCCCACACCAAATCGACGTCGTCCAGCGGCTCCACTCAGCCGAGACTTGATTATCGCAGCATGGTCTCTGTGGACGATATGCCTGATCTGTTCGCTTCATTTGACAGTAAGTGTTATTTATTTTTGCTAAATCAAGTACTTCAATATGTATTCTAGTGATTTTTTTAGATATTTTTATTTTGTGTCATTCACTACTTAAAATACTAATTGTCGCACACGACTCCGTCCGCGCGGAATTAAAAAACAACTTAATAAGTAGCCTATGTGTAGCTCTTCCACACTATGTTCTACATCTATATTAAATTTCAGCGATTTCCGTTGAGCCGTTTCGAAGATAACTTCAAACAAACATCCATCCATCTAAACATTCGCATTTATAATATTTATTATATTAGTAAGATAGATCGGAGATAGAAGACCGTAAACTCTGGGCACAATTCCTAGATCACAGTACTGATGTTTTATTTCCTTGCAGAGTTGATTCCGCGTCCGGCGCGCGCCAGCGACGACCCCCCGCTGTACCTGCGGCTGCGCATGGGCAAGCCCGCGGGCAGGCCGCTGCCGCGCTCCACGCAGCTCATGTCCTACGGCCGCAAGCGCATGAAGCCCGAATACTGGTTCGGCATCCCCAGGAACAGGTCTATATTAATTACTCTTACCACACAGAACTGTTTAAATAATCATCACATTACTCCGAATGTGGAAGTTAGTAACTTCCCTTTAAGAGAGACTCTCAACTCTGCGCGGCTAGAACCCAGAGGCTAGTTAATTGTTTTGTAGAAAAGGGGTTTTACTGTATGCCATGTATCTCCCTCTCTCTGTCACTCTGTACGTGTATAATAAGGATGGATGTTATCAATCAGGGTGGACGACCTGTACAAGTTCCTGACGCACTGGGTGCCGAGCCGGTACGGGCCGCTGGGTGACGTCACGGCGCAGGGCTACGAGCTCATTGACAGCGACACCGAGTGGGACGACGAGGACGCCAAGCCTGGAGTTAAGGTACATTTCATACTGCTTCAATTCAAATATCCAGATTGTCTATACATCTATACATATTAATAAAATTACATTTTATAACGCAAAACCACTTCTTTTGTGTCTGTCTGCAAGTCCGTGTTTGTTCCTGGTAATCTCCGGAACTGCTGGTCAGATTTTGAAGGGACTTTGACGGAAAGATAGCTAATGCACTCGGGCTGGTTATAGGCTACTATTTTAATTCTGAAATTGGGCTATAGTTGCGGGCAAACGCTATTTAATGAATTAAGTGGTTAATATTCTTGTCTCTGTCGATAATGACGCTCAATTCTGATAGTTGATCGTTGGTAAATAACTTATTAAAGATAAAGATATATTAATGGAGTCAGTAAATTCTAATAAAATAGAATAATATTTTCACTGTGATAAAATAGACAAACAAACCATAAATAGATAATAAACAAGTTATTGAAACATTTAAAATTTTTAACGAAAAATGTCTCAGTTGAGAGTTATGTAATTGTTTGCAAATGAACGCGAGCCTATTGTTGACGCGCGCTTACAGATAATTATCTCGTCACCATCACTCAAGATAAATCACGGTACTAAGATATTTTAAATTATGTATTAATTTAAACATCTGTATTGCATATTTCAAAGGAGTTATTTTTACCCGCAGGGCGAACGTACCGGCAGCTCCGGTGATGTGTCCGACATTACTAGGGAATCGTGGGAGGTGAGTCGTTTTGTATTAACATAACACATCTCTTAACACAATTTTCTGTATAACAACGCTTTATCTAACACCGTGTCGACAGCATCTTGAACAATGTACCACATTACAGTACACATGAAACGTCACTACGTCACAGTCAACTATCTCTTTCTCTCTTTGACAGATACAGTGTTACCACTTTTTTATATTTTGAATTTTTATTATAATTGGACAGAGCACGATATTTTTTGTATTCGTAACATATAGAGAAATAATATATTCTTATCAAACAAAAGAGTGATTTAAATCGATCATTTCCTTTATGTTTCCGTTTAGCATTATTTCAAATTAAACTATATAATATTAATCACGTATAAAATTTTATAGCTTTGATAGCTAACAATTTGATTGCTTTATCACGTTATTAAAAATAAACATTTAATACTGTACAATAGACACTAAATACTGATAGGAAGAAAATCCGACACTGTGCCGGTGTACTGGCGCAACATTAAAACCTTATTAAAATGTCAACGTTTAATTCCCTTCACTATTCATTCTGACACTTGACTTTGTAACAAAATGGCGCCATTCGCGCTAAAGGATTCTAACTAATAATGTCTAAAATACTTTGAAGTTTGATATTAATTGTTGATGGGATTGCGCATAGCTGCTGAAGGCGCCGTATGTGAAAATATATTCTATAATGAAGAGCCAGGCGGAGGCGTTGGGTGACTCGCTCGGCGAGGAGCCGCGCCTAGAGGTACCGTGCGGCACGCACTTACGTGCACGCGTACGCACTTACGACAAATATCATTCGGATACATTTAAAACAATCACTTACTTATATATTTATATATTTAAATTACTTATATACTACTTATGTATAATAAACATATATTTAAGTGTAATTTTATCCGAATCTGTTTGTCGTTTGATCGTTAAATGTAGCGCGTATGCACTTTAGACAAATGAAATCTGCACTTTTTTTTTTAAATTCATGTCCTTTTGAATGTTTATCCATAGTCGCTCAATATTTTGTAGTATCATTGTCAATGTTTATCCTACTCTTCAATGCATCGGATCTAGGTAGAGGCGTTTTTAGTAAACACCTAATATCAATGTAAATTAAATGCACGATAAGATACGCTAATACTGTAGATTGGTTTTTAAAATATTGCTCTATAAAAAGATAATAAATAAAAAATAATATTCACCAAAGATATATTACCTCTAGATTGAGCGTGTCTTACAAGTTTGTTTAAAAAAAATATTAGATGCATCTAAAACAAATTAAAACCTCGTTTAATATTAATTACAGTCTGTGTCATATTAGGACAGTTAAAATGCTCCTCAAAGACGATCTCTGAAACCATGTTTCGAGATTTAAATGTGCTATCTTTAAACACTTCTGACTAAATACATTTTCGTTATCATTATATCAAAAAAGAACATTAATAATGTTATCATCGATTTTTCGTGTGATTCATTATTGAACCAACTTTTAGATATTTATAATCTAGCTAATTGCAAAAAAAAAAAACAAAAAAAAAACAATCATATTATTTTAAATCGTTGTCTCTTGTACTATGAATAGTGTTTTATTCACAATATCATAACTTCGCATTGAAATGAAAGTGTATTTTTTCATGTCATTGATGTAAATTATTTGATTAGGCGTGAATGCTTTGTAGTATTAAATCCATGTAACGATGCATGAGGTCGCGTACACAATGGATAAGGAACAATGGTGTTTGTCGGTACACTGCAGTTACCTTGTCTCATCTCCCGTTTGAATGTTTCACAATAACTAACTTATATGCTTGTTGCGAACAACCCAACCGGAACATTACAGTAATAAAACATTTTTTTCACTTGAAATAGTTGACAGATGAATAATTTCTAAGACCAGAATCTTTGTTTAAAACATATTGTTATCCCTGTTTTGTTAAAGATGTAAGACAGGGATGATGGTAAATTTAAAGAGTTTTTGGCGTCAGAAACTCATGGATAGTGATGTTATGTCCGTGCCTAAGATTTCAAAAGTGCCTTACGATATGTCATTTTCCATGTCTAAAAAAATTATCGATTGATTTTAATTTGTTTACAAAACTGAATTATCCTCAAGTTTTTTTTTTCTATAAAGCGTCTACAACGTGGCCGTGGAATAATCGATTGTTTGTAAATTACTTTAATTTTTACTACATTTACCTGATGAAATTGATAAAGTTAATCCTTGATTTTAAACGCACTCATAAACTACTCGAGTTGTATATTTTCCTACTAACCAAAGAAATCACAGTTATAAATCACTGTCTACGTCAACTCGCGTTTATTATGTTAGCAACGCCTGATTAGGTAGTCCGTTTCAAACCATAAATGAATTGATATTAGAACGGAATACAAACAGACTAATATTTAATTGTAAAGACAAACATTGGTCAGTGCATTGGATCTTAAAAGGTCATCAAATATGACGTATGTATTAATGAATTTGTTTTGAAAGACATTAGCGTCACACTAAGTATGCCCCAAATTGACATATTTATTTTAAACAAAGAAAATAACTACGAAATTCAAGGACTATCAAAATGTTTATAAATAACAGTAGCAAGATAAAAGGTACTGCATAATATTAATATGTAAATATAACTTCTAATCAATTTTCATTACGTACATCATCAGTTCACTATACGTTCACACCAAGGGGTTCGGAGCCTACCCTAAGTTAAGAGTGATTAGGCCATAGTCTACCACGCTGGCCAAGTGCGGGTTGGTTGACTTCACACATATCTTTGAAATTCTCCTCAGATATGTGCAGATTGCATCAGGATAAAAGTACATATGTAAATCGGAAATCGAAAAACACATTGGTAAATGGCGGGATTCGAACCCTGGACCTGCAGATTGCAAGTCAAGTGCTTGACCCTTGAGCCACCGACGCTCCCGTTCCCGACGCTTATTACGTTCAATCTCTGAATTATTTAACAATTTTTATATACTTTAAAAACTGTTATGTAAATACTATTGTCCGTAATTCTATTACAACGAATTGCAAACAAGGAAAGACGTAATGTGAATGACTTTAAACATTTGAATGCAATGTTTATAATGAAGTGACGTATAAATAAAACAGGTTTAATACTTGAAGGCGGGCAAATAAATGTTTGCAACCTTCATACAAGTAGCCTTTTTGATTTTAGTCGCATTCACGCTGCATGGAGTCCACTATGTGTACACTGACATTTACGTTTAAATATTTAATCTTGTTATAGACATGCATATAGATTAATGTATGTATGAAAATTTAATTAATTAATAGTCGATAATCCGATGATGTAGCTAATAGAAGATTACTAAGATTATATTATTGATATTAATTGTTAAAGTTAATTGTTGATAAATTATTTGTATGCATCATCATCAGCTCACTATACGTCCCCACCGAGGGGCTCGGAGCGTGCCCTAAGTTAGAGGTGATTAGGCCATAGTCAACCACGCTGGTCCAGTGCGGGTTGGTTGACACATATCTTTGAATTTCTTCTCAGATATGTGCAGGTTGCATCACGATGTTTTCCTTCACCGTAAGAACGTCGGATTAATGTACTTATGTAAATTGAAAATCAAAATGCACATTGCTTTCAAATTTAAAAGGAAGATTTAACTTATTACATTGTTACTAAAACATGTCCTCTAACATGTGGAGCATTTTAAATAGTATTGTCAGTGAATCTTAAACTTAATATAGCATTGGCATATTGTACTCGAAATTTTTGACACAGTAAATGAACTATAGAGGTTTTATTGACTAATAGGAAAAAAATTCCACAAAGTCGTTGCTCCATCTATTCGCCACAACATAGCGACATTAAAAACTAAACCGGTTGATAAACTTTTTTTTTTTTTGTTTTTTGATCAACGAAAGATCATCGTAGGATGGAAATATTACGTCATGATTTGGCCAAACAAATACAATGTTCCAATTTCAAATTCCAAAACAAATTTGTTGAAAATTAGATTTATCATTCTACAATTTGCTTGTCACAACATTCAGTTTGCTTTGTACGTGAAGTTAACTGATGCCTTGACAGTGATACAGTTGTGAGCTATTGTACGATGCAACGGAATGGAGCAAATAGATATTTGCTCACGGATGGTCGCAATTACCTAATCAGGCCTTATTAACCTCAGTCTGTAATGCTCTACCCATTGCTTTTTCGTATCCTGTATACTCCTTGTATATGACAAGCTATCAGTATAAACTTATTACTATTAGTGTATGACATCACTTAATTCAACACATTAATTCCAAGACAGCTTGACCTCTTAGATAAATACAATTGTACATAATTAATTGTTATTAACCCTCTACTTGTTGTTCTTGACACTGAAATTGAGACGTAGTTTTTTTATTAATTTGTTTTCTTATAAAAAAGTACCCGGTATTTCGGTGCAACTAATAATTTTGTGAACTTTTTTTTTATTTTATCAGTAAATGGTATTTTTAAAACACATCTGAAACTGACAAAGGTTAAATTAGTTATCATGACACAATAAGTTTTTACCTGTAACTAGCTGTCACATGCGACTCCGTCCGCACAGAATTAAAAATAACTTAATAAGTATGTGTTCTTCCAGACTATGATATACATCTATGCCAAATTTAAATAGAAATTAGAATATTGTCAATTGAAGATCGAGGAAAAAAATAGATACTATGTAAAAACACCCGTTTTTTAAGAATTCCTAAAAAAAACATAATTCTTCAGCTATTAATGTGAAACGGCATATTGTCATTGTAATGACTGCCTATCTAGGCATGAATCTTAATGGGTACAACAAACTATGACCTTGTCTTAGATTTTGCTAGAATCGCTAGAACTACGTTACTTGTTTTTGTCATTATTTTGAATTTACATTAAGCTGGAGTTATGTTAATTAATTTTAATCACAAGAAGCTTACACACTTTATTTTTATACAAATTTATATATTATGTTTAATTCTAGAAATCAGTTGTTTTATTAATTGTTAGTAACTACCAAAGGCACACGATTTCTTGATTGTTTTTTATTCTGCTTGAATCTGAAGAACGGTAGCAATAAATAGTACTTGATAAACCTTCAATGATAAGACTGCTTAATAAAAAGAAAATTGTAAATCGGTGATTTGCTAGCGCCTGAGATTAACAATACAAACTCCTCAACCTTATATGAATAAAGATGTTTATCTGCAATGATCTGTGACCCATTGGTAACTCTAGACATTACCTCGACGTAACGTCGCACTTCAAGTACTTATGCTTTATACAAACGCATAGATTAATTAAACGGATCCGGTTACAAGTACTGAATGAATCTTATTAAAACTAGTGTGATCTGGTTACGGGCTTTGTCTCCAAAAATAGTTTATATTGCTTCTTACTAATATTACAAATGCGAATGTTTAGATCAGTCTTTCCCAAAGTGGGCGATAACGCCCCCTTGTGGGCGCTGCAGGTTTCAAGGGGGGCGGTAAGAGACCCAGAAAGAAAATGGGGGCGTTGTGTAGAGGCCTGGGTGTGATTTGTAATTTTATTTAGCTAGGAGGCCTCTTAGACAAATACTGCATGAGCTCTCGACTCTCAACAACAACTTGTGAACATCAACTAATATGAATCAAAAGATTGCTTAAACTTTAATATGCTAAAAAAATATTTATTCTCAAAGTGGGCAGTAGACATAATAAGTTAGGAAACCACTGGTTTAGATGGATGTTTGTTTGGA